CCCAAGGATAGGTTCCAGGATTGGCCAAGAGCCTGGCGCAAGTCCTGTCGGGTTTTGAACAACACATTCGACCAATGTCTAGAGGGTCACATCACGCTAAGTGTCGGGAGTCCGACCATAAGACAAACAGAAACGAGATCACAAACCAACCACGGGATACTCGCCCAAGGATAAGCTCCAAGAAATGGCCAAGAACCTGCCGCAAGTCATGTTGAAACCGTCGCCGGGCCTGGGGCCCTGGGAACAATGCGATATGCAGACGCGGGCGCCACATGACAAAACAAGGAACACCGCGTGCTGCAGCCCGCATCCGCAAGAATACGCGTCATCTTGCCAGTGAAGCTGTACCGAGGGCCAGTGTGGATGATCTCTAGCGCTCGATCGTCGAGTTGGTACAGACGCGGCGTTGGACGATGCTATTGGAGCACGTACCCGGGCACACATACAATACGAATGTTGTAGATGACTGTCGACTCTGTTTGGCCGGCATCTAAGGTGAATCTCACACGCCCAAAGGAAGTAATTATCACGCAGCGTCGATGATGGTGTTGCTGATGGTGATGATGGTGCTGATTATGCTGCTATTGATAATGAGCATGACGATGATGATGATGATGATGATGATGATGATGATGATGATGATGATGACGCTGATGATGACGCTGATGATGACGATGATGATGATGATGATGGTGATGCTGGTGATGCTGATGATGCTGATGATGCGGATGCTGATGCTGATGCTGATGCGGATGCTGATGACGATGATAGTGATGCTGATGATGTGATGACGATGACGATGACGATGACGATGACGATGACGATGACGATGATGCTGATGATGATGATGATGATGATGATGATGATGATGATGATGATGATGATGATGATGATGATTCTGCTGTCCGCCTCCCGCGGCGCCTCGCCCACGGCGCGCTCCGACCGCTGCCGCGCCCGCGACTCGAGCAGCGCCGCGGCCGCCGTGCGGAGGAGCAGCACCTCCAGCGAGCCGTCGTCCTCGGCGGCGGCCCTCCCGGGCCGCCCGCCGGGGCTGGCGCCTCGGGCCTCCTTTGCAGATGGCGAGACGGCGGCATACCCAGACGTCCAGCTCACGAGCGGCGAACATATCCGCGACGGCGCCCACGCGGTCCGGATTCCGGGGCGCGGTCCCGCGGATACGCGGTCGCACGGATGATTTCGCGCGAGGCATCCGCGAAAGAACGCCACGCATCCACGCGAAGCCGCGGATCCGATTCCTGCTTTTCGCCAACGGTCAGCGCCTTGACAAGCATCAGGGCAGAGGTCTCTGCTCGTGTTCGGCCTGGGGCCCTCAGCGCACGACCTGGCACGAGAAGCCCGTCCTGGCAGAAGGCCGAGACTCCTGGGGACCACGCGTGGATAACAAAACAGCGCGTTGAAACAAACATACCTTCGCTTTCGGCAGAGGCAACCCATTAGCTGTCGGAGCTCCGCGCAGATCTCTTGGGCCGGCGCTGGGACCCCCCTGGCGGCAGCCCCGGCGCAGCGCCGCCCCTGGCGCGCTCCGCGCGCCAGACAGGGAGGGGGAGGGGGTGGTCCAGCGCCAGTCCAGGCCATCCGCGCGGACCTTCGCAAATGGACGCTTCTGCAGCTCCCTGCCCTGCCATCCTCGCCCCCCCGCTCCCTGCCCATGTGCGCTCTGCCCCCGCTGCTCCTCTGCCCTGCCTCGTCCTCCCCCTCCCCCCTGCCCCGCCCGCGCCCCCCCCGCGCCCTCCCGCTCCCCCCCCCCGGCCTCCTCCCCCCTCCGCCGAGCACTTCTGATCATGCGGCTGCTTCTTCTTCGGCTCCTGCCGCGGCACCGCCGCGGCGCGCGGCGACGGCGCCTCCGCAAGGACCTCGAGTCTTGGCGCTCGGGAGGGGGAGGGGGACTCGGCACCTGAGGTTTAGGTCGGGCATGTCCCCGGCCGAAACATAGAACATAGTCAACCAATACTTCCAAACATCGGCAACACTTGTGAAACAATCCCCCCCTGACTATTCTTGGATTATGTGTTTGAGTGCTCCTCCTGTAGAGGGGCACGCCCGACGTGAACCTGAGGGCTCTGATCTGCGCGCCGTCTTGCTCCGATGAAGGGGCCCCTGCTCCGATGAAGGGGCTCCAGGACACACAAATAAATACACACAAATAAAAGGATCCCCCATATTTTCCCATATGTTCTGGGTTCTTGTCTTCCCCCCCACTTCCCATATTGTCCCATATTTTCCTGGGAGTCGACGATTCATTGTGTCTGTGTGTTTTTCTCCCCGTCTTGCTCCGATGGGCGCTCTCCCGCCCCAAGAGGGGCCGCGCGGGGGCACCCGCCGGCGGGCCGAGGACCCGCAGCCCGGCCCCGCCGGCGGGCGCACCCACGCGAGAGGCTCGGGCCGCCGGCGCGCGGGCCCCGCAGAGCCCCCGGGGCGCCCCGCGAGAGGCCCGCCGCCGACGGAGGGCGTGCCCCTGGACTTCGGACAGCAGGGTGTCTTCTCGTGCGCTGCCTTCTTCTTCTGCTTCTGCTTCTGCTCCTTCTTCTTCTTCTTCTTTGAAGGGGCCCCAGGACACATACGTACATAAATACACACAAATGACAGTATGTCCTATATCTTCCCCAAACTTTCTGGGTTCTGGTCTTCCCCCCCAATGCCGATATTGTCCAATATTTTCCTGGGAGTCGACGATGAATTGTGTCGGTGCGTTTCTTTCCGTCCTGATTCTTCTTCTTCCGACCGCCACCATCCCCGGCGAAGGGAGGCCCAGCTCCGCGGAGCTCCGGCGGGGTGGGCGGGAGGCGGGGCGAGGGGGCGGGGAGGGCCCTCCCGAGAAGGCCCTGGGGGCCCCTCGGGAGGCAGGGGCGGCTTCCTGCAAACATGGCCTCCCGGCAGGAGGCCCGGAAGGGGCTCGAGAGAGGCCCGCCCCGCCGCCTTATCTCCAAGGCTGCCCCCCGAGCTCGCCCTGCCGGGAGGCCCTCAAAAAGGCGAAAACGAGGGCCCGGGTAGCAACGTCGATACGGTGGGGGCATTGGATAAGGAACCCTTAGATGAGGAATCCAGGGTCTACAGGCCGGAAGAGCTCCAATCGAAGCTTGGCCATGGATATCACCGCCGCCCTCATCAGATAAGGAATCTTCCAGGGTTTGCAGCATCCTGGGCGCATTCCTGAACCAACGCCCTCACCGTATTTGCTCCATGGTGAGATGGGAACAAACAATGACATAAACATAACAACTCGAAGGTCCGCGAGGATTCCTCGGATCGGCGCTGGGCCCCCTGCCTTGGCGCGCGGAGCGCGCCAAGGGCGACGCTGGAGGCGCCGCCGGGGGGGCCCCAACGCCGATCAGAGGAATCCGCGCGGACCTCCGAGTTTGTATGTTTCGAGGCTTCGGACTGCGACCAGACGGCCGGTTAGCTGCCTGTGCGCAGCCCGAAACCTCATACGCAGGATCGGGAACTTGTTCTCCTCTGACTCGCCGCGCGCCGCCCAGGGACCTGAGCCTCTGGCGCGGTCCCACCTCGAGGGGACAAACACGGGGACCACGACCAAGATGTCGCGGGATCCTGCCGACGCCGATCTTGGTCATGGTCTATGCCGGCCGTCGCCGATCCGCGAGGATGATCCAGGCTTTCACGCTGACAGGTATGGACAGTGACCAAGATAGACACCGACGTTCCGCGTTCAATCTTGCTCATAAGAGACGAGAGAAGGAAATACGGCTTAAACATAAACTGTCGGAGCTACGCGCGGATTATTTCTTGGACCGCGGAGCGCGCCAGGGGCGGCGCCTGAGGCGCCGCCAGGTGGTCCAAACGCAGGTCCAAGACATCCCCGCGGAGCTCTGAAAGTTTACGGTCAGGAACTCTTGGATGGCGTGTCGGCGGCGGCGGCGGCCACGGCGACACGCTATGCCCTGCGAGTGGATGGCGTGTCGCTCCGCGCCGCGGGGCGGGAGGCTCGGAAAGGCTCGCAGTGGACATCGTGCCGCGCCGAAGCGTAGTGTTGGCGGCGCGCGAAGGGGGGTAGGGAGAGGGGGAAGGCTTCTCAGAAGGAGGCTACTCCTTAGAAAGCGCCGGCCTTGCATCTACAGACAAGAACCGCGCCTTCAAGTTAGCAGGGGTGCTTCTAAGAAGCCTTCCCCCCTCCCCGTACACCCCCCCTGCGCGTGGCTTATGTAAGGGGAAAACAAACCTACCTCGCTTTTGACCACCCTCGCTTCCAAGAGATACCAAACGATGCCAAACTACGGCCTGTACTGGTCAGGCCGCTTGACGAGGAGGCGCGTGGTATGACTTGGTTTTGCCTGGAAGCGAAAACGGAGCAGGTAATTCACGCTCTGGTTATGGTGGGCCATATCCGGCGAAGCGACACGCTGTCCAACCATTCGTTTACGCAGTTCCTTTCTTCCGTCCAGCCTGCGACCTCTTGGCGCGGGCCACGGCTGCCCCCGCGGGCCCCCTGCACCGCTTGAGCCTCCGTCGCCCGCCTCCCTTGCTGGCCTCCTCCTCCTCGCTCCCCCTCCTCCTCTCCTCCTCCTCGCTCCTCCTCCCCTCTCCCCCTCCTGCTCTCCTCCTCCTCCTCTCCTTCTCCTCGCTCCTCCTCCTCCTCGCTCCTCCTCCTCGCTCCTCCTCCTCGCTCCTCCTCCTCCTCCTCCTCCTCCTCCTCCTCCTCCTCCTCCTCCTCTCCTCCTCGCTCCTCCTCCTCCTCCTCCTCCTCCTCCTCTCCCCTCCTCCTCCTCCTCCTCCTCGCTCCTCCTCCTCGCTCCTCCTCCTCCTCCTCCTCTCCTCCTCCTCTCCTCCTCCTCCTCCTCCTCCTCCTCCCCTCCTCCTCCTCCTCCTCCTCCTCCCCCTACCCACTCCACGCGCTCCTCGCTCCTCGCTCCTCCTCCCCCCCGCTCCTCGCTGCTCGTCGGGGCCCTTCGCCCTCGCTTGGCCCCCCCTCCACCGCCGCAGCCCCCGCCTGGCGCGGGCCCCGCGGCGCGCCGCTCCGGCGCGCCGGCGGGCCGGGCGGTACCCTCGGCGCCGCCGCTCGCCGCGGCCGGCCGGTCTCGGCCGTCCGCGCCCTCGACCAGCGCGGCGCACTGCCCGACGACGTCCTCTAAAACGACGCGAAGATCGGGGCAAAATCGGATCGGGATGATTCGAAATCTCTGAGAATCGGCGGGTTTGGAGGATGTATTGGGCGCCGCGGCCGCTCCAGAGCGTTCCAGAACGCTCTGAGAGCACTCCGGAACGCTCTGGAGCGATTTATCCCGATCCTAGCCCTGTTTTATCCTCAGGCACTCTCGGGTCGGGCGAAAGGGGGGGATAGCAAAAGGGGGGCTTGAGAATCAGCTCACGTAATTATAGCTGATTTTCCCGGGGCCTCCCGGCGCCGGAGGCGGCCATGCATCGAGGAACGGGCCCCTCGGTGAGGCCGAAACCAGCTGCATGCAGCACATTTCGTAACCCCCCCTTTCCCAATCCCCCCCTTTCGTCCTGCCCGACACTCGGCGGCCAGCGCGGGGGGAAGCGAGGAGGAAAAGGCCCCCTCAGAAGCCGGGCGGGTGGGGTGGTAGATGGGGGGGTGGACGACCTGAGCGGGGGGGGGAAGAGAAGGGCGGAGCCAGCAGGGGCCAAAGAGGGGCCCCAAAGGGCCCCTGCGAGGCCCTTCCCTTGCTCCTCATTTAGGCCACCCTCCTTTCTGCCACCACCCCGTCGCGCCCCTATCCGCGTCGAGTCCGTATCGAATCCATGTCCGCCTCGTTGAATCCGTGTCGAAGCCACGCCAAAGCCACGTCGAACCCTCGTCGGAGCACGTGAAAAGAAGCCGATATGTGGGACAAAGAAGGCCTCCCGAATATTCAACCGAAGGAAGTGAAGGGGAGAAGGCCCTCCCAGTTCTCAGAACCCCTCAGTCCTTCCGCTAAGTGTTCCGTGCCTGGGCTCGCCGCTGAGACACGCTCCGCGCGGATTTCGGGGATCCGCGCTGGCCCCCTCTGGCGCTCCGCGCGCCAGGGAGGGGGGTCCAGCGCCGATCCAAGAAATCCGCGCGCAGCTCCAAACGTTGATGTGTATGCCATGCTTTCTTCTTCGATCTCAGAGAGAGCTGCACTTCTGTCACGCCCAGCGGTTTCGCCGGCTTTCGGGCCCTGGAACCCTCACAGATCGGTTCGGCTCGAAAAGTGGCGTAGAGCGCTTCCCAGAGATCCAAAGTCCCACTAGCCCTTTGGGCGTGAGTGGTTTAGAGAGCTCTCTCTGTCCTCAACCCCCCTTCTTCCCCTTCGGGGAGGGGTTTACCCCTCCCCCTACCCCCTCCCCCTGGGCCTGGAGAGGGCGCCCCGCGGGTCGTTGGAGGGGTCTTTTCGACTCCTGGGAGGGCCAAAAAACGACGACCCTCACGAGGATTCTGGCCCCGAGGGGGGGGGGAGTTTGGTCCCTGAACTCGTCGTTGAAGTAAAAAACATTGATTTTACTACGGTGTTGGCCCCATTTTGGCCTTCTGAGGGGGCCGCGTTCCTCGTCCTTCTTAGCAAAATCATTGATTTTACGAAGGTTTTGGGCTGATTTTGTCCTTCTCAGGGGTCAGCGCTTATTAGCGCTTCTGAGGAGATCGCCAGAGACCCCAAGATAGCCCCAAGAGGCCCCCAGGAGGCTCCCAAGAGGCCTCCAGGAGGCCCCCAAGAGGCCCCCCAGAGGCCCCTAGAGGTCCCCTCGAGGCTCCCAAGAGGCCCCCAAGAGGCCCCAAGAGGCTCCAAGAGGCCCCCAAGACGCCCCCAAGAGGCCCCCAAGAGGCCCCCCAGACGCCCCAAGAGCTCCAAGAGGCCCCCAACAGGCCCAACGAGGAGCCCCCCCAGAGGCCCCCAAGAGGCCCCCAAGAGGCCCCCAAGGGCCCCACGAGGCCCCCAAGAGGCCCCCAAGAGGCCCCCAAGAGGCCCCCAAGAGGCCCCAAGAGGCTCCAAGAGGCCCCCAAGAGGCCCCACGAGGAGCCCAAACGACTCACACCAGGACGAGGGGCCCGAACGACTCACACCACGAAGAGCCCGAACGACTCACACCACAAGGAGGGGCCCGAACGACTCACACCAGGACGAGGCGCCCGAACGACTCACACCACGAGGAGCCCGAACGACTCACACCACGACGCGGGCCCCGAACGACTCACACCACGAGGAGCCCGAACGAGTCACACCAGGAGGAGGGGCCCGAACGACTCACACCAGGATGAGGGGCCCGAACAACTCACACCACGAGAAGCCCGAACGACTCACACCAGGACGAAGAGCCCGAACGACTCACACCACGAAGAGCCCGAACGACTCACACCAGGAAGAAGGGCCCGAACGACTCACACCAGGACGAGAAACCCCAAACGACTCAAATCACGAGGAGCGCTTTCTCTCCCTCCTCCTCCGCCTCGTCCTTCTCCCGCTCCCCCCACAAGGAGGATTCACAAGGAGGCGGGAGGAAGGAGGGACAGGGGAGATATACGGAGCCCAGCGGACACACGCCTGAAAAACACAACTGTCGACATGCTTCGCGAGAGCTGCTGCTGTGAGATGGGCTGGTGGGGATACGCGAAGCGTAAAGAATACGGAAAACATCACGACGGAGGTGTTTCGTAGTTTTCGGCCTCTAGGGGCCCTTGCCGGGCCTCGGGACCATCAAAAACCGACTCAGGATGAAGAACCAGTCCGGGGCAATCGGTCGAGACGTCCGGGGATCCCGTATGGAAAAAAACACGACATCGGATCTCTGGGTTTCTCCTGCACATGTAGGCAACCCCCATGCCACCATGCATCTTCGTGTATCAGTGCGGTCTGGATGACCCGAGCAGCAGTAAACTCGAACGGTGGTGGGCAGGCAACCGCCAACCCCGTGAGAGTTAGAGAGACCCAAACAGCAAGAGGCAGGACTGCAAGCATAAGGAAGAGGGAGACGGGAAAGGCCGAGTAACCAGGAAAGGGACACCACGCCGTTTAGGGAGTTCAGCCTGTCAACACACAGCGCACGCTTGAGTGAAGCAGAACTCGCTGACTGGCACGGCAACGCTTGCTTGAGGACGCTCGAGGAGGACAACGAGGCCTGGACCAGCACGACGACGACGCGGGATAGGTGGAAGACGAACGGAGGAGGAGGAGGAGGAGGAGGAGGAGGAGGAGGAGGAGGAGGAGGAGGTGGGCCGCTGGGTGGCCAAAAACAGCTGCGAAGGCAAACCGCGAAAATGGCGCAGCAAGATCGGTCCAGGTCTCCAGTCGTGATGTTTTTTACGACGTTACCGTCGACCCGATTCCTTCCGTCGCTCAGGCGAAGTGTCCGGCTGGGGAGGGGGCGCCCGTGCCCTCAGCTGCGCTGCGTTTGGGGGAAGGGGGCGCCCCTCCCCCCCATGCAACCGCTCCGTACCCTCCCTTGTGTCTTGGGGGGGGGGGAAACCCATCAGGCACTGTGCCAAATGCCCCTCCCCCCCCCCTAGCGAAGGGGATGTATCACCGACTCTGCGCAAGACACTGGCATGCGGGTTGGTAGCTGTATGGCTTCCTGGTCAGGCTCACCCCAGAGGCCATGCGAATCGAGCTCTGGCTCAGAGCGGGCCTCGCCTGGCCCTGTGGCCGCGGATTCCTGCTCCCAAATCCGATGTCTTGATTTTCAGGTCTGAACCTGAGCGGTGTTTTTCGTTCACGTTTTGTTCTTCGTTCTTCCTGTGTTTACCTTCGCTTCGCCTGGGAAAAAACACATAACAAAAAAAAACAAAACGGCCCACGAGATGGCCAAAACGCCGTTCAGGTCCAGCCCTCTTGATGGTTACACTGTGGAATTACTGGAAATTCCGACTTCTTCCCCAGGGCCTGGGTTCCTTCCCGAGGCATGTTCGCTTAATTGCGGCGCTGAGGCCCGGCGAGGGCACCTGGAGGCCGAGCACCTTGGAGAACACCGCCGTGCTGCCGCTGCAAGACATTGGAGGCCAGAGGCCCCCCTGCCGTCTGACTTGGCTCCGTGCCCAGGAGGGCCGCTCGCCACGGGATCACAACAAAAGCACACATGCAATGGTTCAGCCTGTGGCGCAAAGCGCGGGGCAGCCACGTGCCGATATTGCACGACGTACATCTTCGAGGCCCCCCCTCTGCTGCGGGCAAGACTTGTGTCCAAATCCACTGCAGCATGGAGTCTCGGGCTCCCTTCCCCAGAAGCCCGAGGCGCACTGGATGTATGGATAAACGTCTGGCCCCCAGAGGCCAGATCTCCATCCGCATCCAGTGCGCCTCGTCCTTCTGGCGCCCCTCCCAACCTAGTCCAAGACGCACTGGATATGCATAGAACTGCTGCCCGCATTTGACTACCTACCAGGCCACCCCAACCCAACCCGAAGACCCGAATTTCGGGTTGGGGGTTTGGGGGGGGGTACGGGTTCCATATGTGTTTTCTCGATGCTCCCCGACCCCCCCCCCCCACTGGAAATGGAGGGCAAATCTGGGCCTTCGGGTTGGGTTGGGGTGGTTTGGTGGGTGGTGAGACCCGTCCTCCAGCTCCCTCTCGATCTCGTGGCCCGCCCTCGCGTGCTGCGGCTGCATCCCCGCCAGCCGGGCCGTGAGCGGCCGCGCCCCGCCGGCCTCCGCGGCGGGCCACGCGCCGCCCCGGCACTCCTCCCGGAAGGCCCGCAGGAGCCGCTCCGCGCGCTCGTGGGACGCGGCCGCCACCGCCGCCTCCAGCTGGAGCTCGAGGCTGCCGAGCATCAGCGCGCACTCGGCCGCCACGACGCGGCGGACCTCCTGGCAGATGAACCTCTGGGGCGGGCCCCCGCCCCGCTCCCAGGCCTCCCCCCCTCCGATCCTCCTCCCCTGCCTCGCTGCCCTCCTCCTCCCCCCTCCGATCCTCCTCCCCTCTCTCTTCCCCCCTGCCTCGCTTCCCTCCTCCTCCCCCCTCCGATCCTCCTCCCCTCTCTCTTACCCCCCTGCCTCCCTTCCTTCCTCCTCCCCCCCTTCAATCCTCCTCCCCTCTCTCCTCTCCCCTGCCTCCCTTCCCTCCTCCTCCCCCCTCCGATCCTCTCCCCTCTCTCCTCCCCCCTGCCTCCCTTCCCTCCTCCCCCCCTCCCCCTGGGAGAGGGGGGGAAGACTGGGTGGGTGCGCGCGGCGCGGGTCCCGACGCGCCTCTTGAGGTCCAGCCTGCCCTCGCCCAGGTCCTGGTCCTGGGGCGTCCGACGAGAGCCCGCCTCCCTCCGCCATCATCCCTCCACCCTCTTCTGTTCCTCCTCCCCGTCCTGGTCCTCCCCCTCCCAATCCTCCTACTCCTCCTTCCCCTCCCGATCCTCCTAGTCCTCCTCCTTCTCCTCCCTCCCCGTCCCTCTTCCCGTCCCCGTCCCCCTCCCCCTTCTTCTCCTCCTCCTCCTCCTCCTCCTCCTCCTCCTCCTCCTCCTCCTCCTCCTCCTCGCCTCCTCCTCCTCCTCCTCCTCCTCCTCCTCTGATCAGTACCATCAGCAGCATCATCACCAGCATCATCGTCATCATCAGCAACAGTATCACCATCATTAGCATCACGATCGTCATGACCATCATCAACATAATCAACATCATCATCATCATCATCATCATCATCATCATCATCATCAACAACATCGTCATCGTCAGAATCAGCATCATCACCATCATCCGAAACATCATCAGTATCAGCAGTATAAGCAGTACCATCATTGACATCAGCATTATCAGAATCATCATCACGTACACCACCATCACCACCACCATCACCATCATCATCATCAGCAGCATCCTCATCCTCATCATCGTTATCACCATCACCACTATCATCACCATCACCACCATCATCACCATCAACATCATCACGATCATCAGTATCATCATCATCAGCATCACCATCATCGTCATCAAACTCACCACCACCATCATCATCATCATTGTCATCATCACCACCATCATCATCATCATCACCATCATCATAATCAGCATCAACATAATCACCGCCATTATCATCAGCATCATCACTATCATCATCATCATCATCATCATCATCATCATCATCATCATCATCATCATCGTCATCGTCATCGTCATCGTGATCGTCATCATCATCATCATCATCATCATCATCATCATCATCATCATCATCATCATCATGATCATCAACATCATTAGCATTATCTCTCTCCCCGGTCCTCCTGATGATGGCGCTGGCGGCCGTGTCGACTGGTGCATCGAGAACGGGTGGGCACGCGGACGTTTCACGAACAAGAAAACGGTCTGCAGCATTATCCTCAAGAAGGCCTCCATCACACACAAGTGGACACCCGCGGCCTCGCTCGCAGGTCGCGGACTCGCATTGCGGGCTCGCTGCGCCAGCTACGACATCGGGGTCTGCTTGGCCTACTCCCCGCCGCCGCCGGCGAAGGGGAGTGCTGAGGTCTACCGACGCAGCTGTGACGCGCTGACAGACTGGTTAAGTTCCCTGCCTTACCTGAGCACGAAGCGGGTGCTCCCGATCTTCTGCGTCGACCTGAACTCGGGCTTCAGCTTACAGCGGCTCGACGGCGACACGTGGAGACCAACGGCGTCGGAGGTAAGCGGCCCCGCTGCACAGGACCGACAGCGCTACGCAGCAGATTGCATCGTGCCTGTGATGGAAGAGCTCGGGATGGTCGCTGTCAACACCTACATCGGACATGGCCCCACCTACTTCGGTACGCAGAACGCCTCGCATATATGTTTCGTCTTCATACCCAAGACACTTATTGGGGACATTATTTCAGCTGTTCCTTTACGACGGTATTGCAGAGATTTGCGAGTCATTGCGAGACGACAAGTTAGAGGTCATGTTCCTGCACACGTTTGCTTTCAACACTCGATCGTGAATACGACAGAGGCCCGCCTCCACTGCGACATGACGGAACACCGAAGATTGGGTGATGCACCACGGAATGCCCGCTGGAACCGAGAGGCCCCTATGCAATCATTTCGAGGTGGACAGGGACGGCCGGTTTTTCACATAAAACTGGAGAGCAGAGATCAGTCGGATGAGTGGAAGGCTATTCAACGCGATGAGCAGACACCTAATGCAGAGTGGGGTTTTCTTATGGATGCATTTCAGACGATTGGAGGTCGCCATTTTGCGCAGGCACCCGAATACCAACCTGGATACCGCACTCTGGCCGCGACAGTCAAACCATTACTCGTCCAGCAACGGGCGCTCCGCAGACGACTCAGTGACTACACCTCCGACTGTGCTGGCGACGACCTCCAGCCACCAGTACGCTCGGACTTCTTGGGCGTACGATGGCAACTCCGCTGCCACACCAAATGGCTACGCTCGGCTAGTCGCCAATATTGGCGACAATGGGGAACGGACACGGTAGACGAGCTCAATCAGGCACGACGCTGGAACAGGAATGGGCCCACGGAAGCGTGACCACCGTCGGGCACCAGCGGCTCTACCGACAGGAGATGAACTCGCCGAGCGCTGCGCACTACCTGCTGGGCAAGGCGGCATGGCGGCTACAGACATCGACTGGATCAAGGACGCCGGCGACTACATCTACAACAATGACACGGGGCAAGATGCACGCGCCGTTCTTGCGCCATTGACCGAAGAGGGGCTTTCGTGGGCGAAGCTTCGCATACGAGAGATACCAACCTGGATTCGGCGAGCACCGAAGCGACGAGCCTGCCCGCCATGGTCAGCACCGCTAGAACTGTGGCGGATGGTACTACACCCTCACCGCAGAGTGTCGAAACGATACTACGGTGTTGGCCACGAGACCCCCGATATTGATCCAGATTTTACTTGGGGATTTCTCGTTACGTTTATGCATCGGCTGCGGAGATCTGGACAAGTACCCCTGGTATGGCATTTGAGCCAGGGAATGGCGCTTACATGGAAGCGGGTTATTCATCTCTTGGACCCCTTTGGGGAGGGCTTCATGGCCACCGCTATTGACCCTGTGGAGCTGCGCGACGAACCTCTCTTCGCTCACGGCTGCATTCCACACAGATGTCGGGCGTTGGCCATGTTAGGGCAACAGCTCTGCACCGGGAAACTACGAAGTCGTGGCATCACCCACGTGATGGACCTGAAAGATATCACAACGCGTTTGCTTCGACTGACTGGCACAGGTTGGCGACGGCCAACGAGGGCATCATGAAGGAGGACCATGTGGTTTTTGGACGGCAGCGATCTCGTTTTGCAGCGGTAATGATTGGCGATAGATGCGTACGACCCAGCGTCGGAACACTCATGGGGACCCGTGGGCTGTGAGGGTGTTCTGTCAGGGATATCAGCACGGCATTCGCGACGGTTCAAGAACATTTTAAGGCCACGGACCCGAAACAACGGCATGGTGTCAGCTCGACCTACACTACGATGAGGAAGAATTCAACTTTGATATGGTTTTGCAATCGTACATCGACGACGCCATCAGGAAATCAGTGGTGGCTGACCAGACCTGGACGCTGGAGCGTTCGCGGTGGTCAAGTGCCTGCGACATCCTGCTGTCCGCGGAGCTGCGTCGCCGTGGATACGCCCTCAAGCCAACCGAGAACGTGAGCCTCCTCTCCCCCGTGGGCGCCAGTCTGCACGCCCGCCGTCGAGAGGTGACCCACAAAAAGACGCCCCGCCCTCGCCCGGGGCCCCCGCGGACGCCACTCGTCCCCGCGGGGGCCAGGCCGTGGGCAGCTGCTCCTTTCGGGACGAGCTGACCTCCAGGCCGGCAGCGACCTCTCCTGGCGTGCTGCCCCATGCCCCATGGGGTTAGGTGTTGGGTCGTCGGAGCGCCCCGCCCGCACGGAGAGGCGAGCCGTCTTCCTGGCTGGAGCGGCAGAAGCCTGCCCGCTCGGCCTGTGAGGCGCCCCGTGCCGACCCCGAGCCGGGCGGCCCGGCTCGCGTCCCTTACCAGCCTGGAACATATCCCTATCCCTATGCTGGGCATCTCCTCATCCCGATGCCGATCTTAGGGATCCCCTTATTTTTTGAGGGCGAACCCCTAAGATTGTCAGCGCCTTCTGGCGCGTCATTCTTAGGGATAGGGATACGTTCGAGGCTGGTAAGTCCCCGGGGCCGTCTCCTCGGGGGCGCAGAGCGGTGAGTGGGGGCAGCTGCGTCTTGGGGCGGGGGGCCACGCTCGCTCGACCACTCCGGAGGCGGTCTTGACGCACTGGGAGGTCCCCCCGCTGGAGGATGAGGTCCGTGTCCGACGCCTTGGGTGAGGAGGAGGAGGAGGAGGAGGAAGAGGAGTGGTATCAACAGTGGCCCATCAGCCCTGACGTGCGCCTGAGCGAGTGCCCCCCCACCCCTCTCTTCGGCGATCTGAACATCGAGAAACAGCGCGGGCTCAGCATGCTCACCTCTGACTCAGAGGTGTGATCGGGCTGGACTCAAGAACAGAACAGAGCATCCAGGCCAAAAACTAGACGAACTAGTTGGAGCTGGCAGGTCTTAATTAACACCCGAGCGCAACGTTTATGATCAAAATATCTCTCAGGCCGATGACGCCTAATCTGAGTGCCACATCGCGCCTACTGCTAAAACCTTGGGCCATCCAGCATGTCAGGGGCTTTGGGGCGCTTGGGAGGACATCTACGGACATTGCGCAGGACATGGTCTCCGGTTCGGGGCCCCGCTGGCGTTTCTCGAGAAGGGGGACCTGAAGGACTGGTTCATGGAGCTGGCCCTCTCTGTCGTCAGGGCCGCGTGGCTCTGCGTCTGCTTACCTCCTCCAGGACATCCCCCGCAGGCCCCACATGTACCTCCAGAGGCACCTGCAGGGCACGCTGAAGGCCTTACTTGCCCGATCGACGGCTGCGCGCAGTGGTTTCTTACTACACGTCAATGGCTTGTACGCGTCCGAGCGGCTCACAGTTTTAAGACCCTCCTCGCGGAAGCCACCCAAGGGACCTCGTGTTTCGTGCGCTGCCGCAAGTTCCAGAGCCGCAGCGAGGCCTACAACCATGTCCTGGACTCGTTCGCTTCGGGCTGCTGCAAACACCAACGCAGCACGACTCTGTAGCTCGAGATCCCCAACGGATCCTTCGACTGTCGGCTGGGTGAAACTCAAGTTTCTACGGAGGCCGACACTCACATCCACCTTAGTGCCCACTTTGAAGATCTCCCTCTCGTACTTCGCGATGGAGGTGGACGAGCCCACCTGGGTCGTGGGGAACCGCAAGGGGATGGAGGACAGCAGCTGTAGCGACTCGAAGGGCGCCAAACATGCACGCTTGCTCGCAGCCATTGGCCGGGATGCGAAGGACAACCAAAAGGGCGGCAAAAGGGGCGTCTTGGCGGCGCTCCTGGTGGTGCTTCCCAAGCTCGCTCTTACCAACGCGTGAGAGCTGGCCGAAGTGACTGGCGCTTGCTTCACGTGCTACATGCTGGGCGCAGAGGTGCCGTTCGTGAGAGTGCTGCGGCAGGTCGGACGAG